TCAGTGATGGTGTGCAGCAGCCAGCATCTGGGGAAGTTGATAGAAAACAAACAAAAAAATTATCTAGCTGGAGCTTGTAATCAAAATAAGCTCTTTAACACTTTCTGGAGAAGGCTTTAAAGGGTATCAGTCGTTATTATCCACCAGCAGTAGCAGTCTGTTTCCCATATTTCCTAGGGTTGTGTTTCCTTAGCCAGGAATTGCACTGGGAAGCGTCAAAGGGGCTGTGCAGTTCAGGCACAGTGACCTGTCCACATGGACAGCACATGGGGTGACCTGAGTCCCCAGAAATGTCCTGTAGACCTACATCTCCCCACGTGTGATTGCATCACTCTAGTTGTGATGCACAACTACTGGTGCCTGGGATGTAGCTGAGGATTTCTGAGAGAAAAGCAAAAAAAGAAGGAACAGAAAACTCTGGGGAAGGCTTTCTAAAGGTCTGTGAATCCCCTGCCAAATGCAGCAACCTGTGGAAAATACAATAGTAGCAAGGCAAAATAAGGGGAAGGACTTCCTTATACGTGGATTAGCATGATTCCCATAAGCAGCTTGATCTGTTTCGGGTGAGCTTGTTGTAATGACAGTAACACAGAGATGTATGATGCTGCTGTATTCTGGCTCTTTCGCTGCTCAGAGAGCCTACAGCTTTTTACCTAATGTATTGCAGACACTAGAATTAAGCATATAGTAATCCAAATCTTTTACTTTGTGTTCTCTTATGATTACAGAATGCTGCAATATTTTCTGTGAGTTGTCTGAAGTCTTAGGAGTCAAACTGTGAATTGAGGTATTATCAGAATAGGAAGGATCCTATTAAATCCTTAAAAGTGTATGATGTGTGTGAGAGTAAATGGAGTGGTTATTTCACTTGTGGTTCAGTAATTGGCATGTGTTGCAGTAAATGGCAAAAGTGCAGTACTTACTATGGAGGATAAATAGTTTTACCATGGATTATCAAGGTTCTGCTGTACAAAATAATGGAAGAGAATTTAGGTATGATATTGAGAAAATATATCTCAAAACCTAACTTTTAACTGATTTTTCTTTTTAGCATAACATTTCTTTTAAAGCTCATAGCTATACAATGCTCTCTTAAGGACTCCTTTTGTGTTTCCACAATTTGACCTTTTTCTTTCCCAGTTCTTCCCAAAGCATATCCTGATCACTACACACTCTGCAGACCCCATTGTCTGCAGCAGCAAATTGATACTTGCTATCATTCTTTCAGCTGCTTCTTTTTCTTGGAGGCTTCCTCCCTGTTTGTCTTCTATAATGTTCATTCATTTTTCTTGCTCTTTTCTCTGGGGAAGCCTGTAAAGATATAGTAAGAGATATATGATAAATTTCTTCAAGTTGATAATTTAAAATGAATATCTGGTTTGCTTGGTAAGTGGGACAAGAAAAAAAAAGTAGTAAGTTTTGATAAATCAGAATGCATCTGGTAAAGTCTTAACGCAAGAAAAAAATATCCACCTGTACTTCTGGGAGCAATGGTCAGCCCTCAGCTCCATCACCAATAAATCTGGCTTCAGTTAAATGAATTTCATGTTCCACCACTGTATTTTATTGTTCCCTTAGGTTAGCTGAAACCATTGCTTTTGCTGCTGCTGCAATCAATGATGTTATAGAACTTTATACTTCGGACTGAGCCAAAAGATTGCAGTTAACTATGTGTGATGATAATGAAAAAAAAGTCAAACTCTTTCTCTGTGTCATTTAATCTCACCTTGAATTTTCTGTATGTCACCAGAAACACAGCTCAGACATTATCTCTTCACTATTCTGCTTATTTATGATTCCCAAATAGTCTTCCAAATAGACAATCACCTGAAAGTTTCTTCAGTATTTTTTGTTAAAAGTTGTTGGAAAATAATGATTGTTTTTGAAGTTTTTTTGCAGAATACTATAGTATTCTTTTAATGGAAAATAACCCTAGCCCACATGGAATTATTCAATCAAGTATCTTCAACACTAGTATGTGCTGATATTTATGCTCACATATATATGATACCTTAATAAATGACTAGATTAGCAAAGCTAATACTTCTTTTTGTTTGTATGAAGTATTTTTCTACTACTATAATTTCTACTTCTCAAATTTTCACTTCTCAAAATTTCTCATGCTTTTGAAGAAATATTTTGGTTTTGTGGATTTATGTTTTCCATCATTGCAGGTAAAGTAGCAAACAGCTTTGTTGAGCCAGTTTGACAGAATTCCCTCAGCTTGTGAGAGACTGATTGCTAAGGAAGAAAGCACATTTCAGACCTGCAGCTGTCACTTGTCACAGAGGCAGGAGCTGTGGGTTATCCTCCCCAAAATAAGCCAGTTGACTCGGAGGTTACAATGAAGCTGGCCATCAGTAGGCTTGCTGCCTTATGCTGACAAGGGATGATTGATAGGAAATGAGAAAGATCTCTTCTGGGGAGAAGGAATCAAGAACAAAAGGTTCCTACCAGCCTCTGCTTCTCATGGGAAGAAGAAAGGGACTCTCAGGGTGTCTGACCCTGCCAGGGACCAGGCAAGAGCTGCCAGCCCTTTGTTGCTGCAGTGCAGGCTGGCTGCTGGCTGATCAGTGGCCAGTGCTGGCTGATCAGTGGCCAGTGCTGGCTGATCAGTGGCCAGTGGTGGATGAAGGTACTCCTCCTGCTAAGTTAAGAAGTTCAAGCTGTGCTTAGTTTTCAACCCACAGAAGTAATTTGCTGCTGGTGTGAGAAGATGGGACTTTGTTGGCTTTGACAAACTGACCTACATTGATGCTGGTGGTGAATTAGACAAAATGTATTCGTTCCAGCTTGATCGCAGAACCTTTGATTAAATTATGTTTTTCTCTATTTTCTCATGAAGGGCCACATCTGCTCATGTGGAAATAGCTTGTACCAACATTGAAACATAAATTATTTGATGAACTACTTAGGACTATTCACTTAATGCATGATAATCCTGTGAACATGTTAATGAGCGGCAATTCTCTGATGATTGAACTGCTTTAAAATGTCTTTCTACTTATATGTCATTAGAATGAACTTGGCCCTTCTAAAACATCCATTATTCATCATGTTCCAATGTTGCATCTGACTGCATATCACTTTAATTTCCCTCATTTAACAAAACAGTCTATTCATTACAATAGTTTGAAGCATGTTTTCTAAATCAGAAAAGCCCTAGTTAATATATAGCATTAGTTATCTTTACAAGTACAGTAGAGCAAAGTGCAGCATCCCAAATTGTAATTGCATGCTTAGTGCTTTTGAATATGCTAACTAAAACTAAACGGAACTTTTAAGAAGAGCCTTTGTTGAAATCAATGATTTTGTTAGCTAGAGAAGCAGGATTGGTAAAACAGCTTGCTTGAAAGCACAAGACTGAGTTTTCTTTCTGAAATAGTTGAGCAAAAACGTTCTCAGTAATCCCTTTTTTTCACATGCATTTCTTGACCTGGCAACTCAAGAAGCAGAGAATTATGGAGTAATATTAGCACAAATATGAATACTTATAATAAATGTATATTTTAAGGGGTTTTCCTGGTTTTCCCATGTATTTTTTAATTTTAGAAGTCTTGGATCCTTTCACACATTGGGAATCCCATTAAATCTTACATTAGATTTGCTCCTTCTTGAATCTATGTGTGATGGCTGCTGCAGAAGTGGTTCTTACTTCTCAACAAGCTCAAGAGGTCTATCCCAGGAAGTGCTGGACTGCTGAATGACTCCATGTTTGAAGATTTTTTAATCACTTGCTACGTAAACTCAATCTCCTTTAACCAAAAGACAGCTTTTGGAAGAGGAGATAGACTATCAGCTAAATAGACCACTTGAAAAGTATCAGCAGAAATGCATTTGCCTTTCAGTGTAGCTAAATGAATTCCCCATTGAGCTAGTAAAATTCTGGCAAATAACAGTGGAGATGGGCTAATAACCTCCAAACAAGCCAGAAATCTTTATTCTCAGAGAGCATGAGTCTTGTAAAATATGCACAAACTTTAATATTTTTATTTTGAAAACTACTTCAATATTTTTAATTTTGCTATTAAAATATTTTTGGCCTTGCTAGGAAAGTAGTGAATTATGCTGGGCTTATTTCTCACAGGTTTTTGATCAACTGTGGTTTTGACACATTCTATTTCAGTCTGTTGCCAATGTAAGATGTTTGGGTAAATGTGGGAAGTTTATGGATGCTTTTCTAATAACCAGTAGAATTAGGGATCCCTGTTGGTTGTATTTATGCTTTCAGCAGCTCTTGGTACAATAGAAGTTGATATGTTATTTATTAGACTACAAAAATAAATATGTATTAATATACATATTTATTGGAATACAGAATTGTTAAAATGTGAATAAAATATATATTAAAGAAATGGAGTTATTATTTGCTAAGTGGAAAATACTGAATAAGGTGGACTTCAAAATATAGTAGCATTGATCTCTATGTGTTGGACGAAGAATGCTGATGGGATCAGAATAAACCAAGAAACTCGACTGTGGGCTCACTTTTTAAAATTTCTGCCTCTTCCTGTGAATCACAATCTTTCTTTGCTCACAGCCCAATAAATAAGAGTTAGTTTGGAATGAGTTAATAATTAATTACAGTGAATTTCTAGTGAACCATTTCAAAACTGTATTAGCTTTTTTTTCATCATTTGTACCTTAAAGATGGCAGCTTATGGGACACATATTTAGTGCTTCATCTATGTCAGTACCAAAATTGACTTACCAGTGTCTTAAGCTTTTGTAAACCTTTTAATGATTAAATTTCAAATGGGATGTTAAACTTTTCCTTCCAACTAACCATGATAGTGTTTGTGGATATATTGCTATAGCTTTGGCTACATTTATGTGTAAATCAACCTTTAAAAAGCCTTATGTTCTTTATGGAAATGGTTCTGAACTGTTTTGTGTGGAGGAATTGTTATTAACGGTACAAATAGTCTACAGCTCCTACAAATTGTTAGATAAGGGCTGCTTTAAAATATTAATTAATGTATGTATTTCTTTTAATGCAGCCCCTGTTCTTCCTGGGGCATATCAACAAAGCCAGACTCAAGGATATGGATACATGCATCAGACCAGTATGTCATCCATGAGGTCCATGCATTCACAGCCTCATTCAGCAAGTCTGGTGAGTATTGAATTTAAAGGAGAATTTTGTTTGGTAAGCACCATCATCAGCTATTGTGAAATCTCTTAAATATGACTGAATTGAACCCCTAGAGTTCTATAGTTGACCTATTTGATTGTCTTTATCATAAATGTGACTGGTAGTCCTCATGTATAAAAAGGACTTAAGTGTCTATGGGCAGTGGTGAGAACTTTTTTAATATCAAAATACATATTAAAAAAGGTATGATATTCAGAGAACAGAGAAATAACTGAATTCTTTACCTACTTAAGACAAGTAGTAGCTGCTTGGACAGTGTTTCACTGGCTGAATTTTGATTTTATGCTCTGTGATGAATTCATGCTCCTAGCACTGGATGAAAACCAGTGATCTTTTTAGATCACCCTGTTGATTTAAATTAGTTTCAATTTTTTTGACTTGCTGATTTTGTGCTAGCAGGGTTTGTATTACTTCTGTGTTACTTCTGCTTGTACAGAGCTAGCTCAGACTCCAGATTGCTGTGCCCTAATTCCACACAGCAGTCATGCACTGACTCGTGTAGGATCCAAACTGAGGTACACTGGTGGGCAACTGAGACGAAGCTTTTTCATGAAACCATGGCCACCTCATGAAGTTCTTAACTGTGGTGGATGGGAATGTAAAGCTGGAGTGAATATTTCATTTTCAAAGTAGCTGGTCATGGAAGGAGAGCTGAATGGTATTCAGCTGGGATTTTTAGGAGATTAAGCTTTTTTTTTTTAACTCCCTATATAAAATTTCAGTTTTAATGGTTATCATATTTTTTAAATACTATTACTGTCTAGAGATTTCCTAGTTCAGATCCAGCCACCTTTTACCTTAAAAATATTGTCATTTTGAATTTTAAACAACTTTGAACAGATGCATATTTACTACCTCTGTCACCTTTTTTAGAGATGAATAAATATTTAATTATGAACCAAACTTAAAGCTTGCTGGGCTGGAAAGAAACCCTGTTTTCAAGATCAGATGAAACTTGTATTTTTTGTAAAACTGAAACTCCATGACATTTTATATTGTATAGGTCATGACTTTCTGTGTGGTGTGAGTACTTTCAGGCTTGCCTGATTCTCAGCTGTCTGGGGCTGAGAGGGCTAACTTGCTGCAAAGTCTGGGATCCAGATACCTGCATCATTGAGTGAGTCAATAACCTGAGAAACTCTTTGGACACCTGCATGACAGCTGTGAGACAGCTGATAGTGGAATCAACCATTAATTTCCAAGGATATTACAAGGCACTTTGGGAGGTGGTTGCTTTCCAAAAGAGACAAAATCCAAAAAGTGGGAGACCTGGAAGCTTGGGCTTTTCCAGCAGATTTGCAAGTCATTGGGGAGCAAAGCAAACAGCCCTCAAATCCAGCAGACAGAAAATGGAGATACCTGTAAATCTCCAAATGCACTTACCAGGCTTTGCAGCTTTGTGGGCAGAGAGATGACTACTATTTCTAACACCTCTGTGTCCCTGTGACTTACCTGACAGGCTGCTGAAACAGTGTCATTTCAGTCATCTTGAAAATCATCATTTGCCTCTTCTTCCAGAATTGGGAATGTGAAGGTAATAGGAAAAGGAGGGGAGTGATATGAAAGGATTTTAAGAGTAAGATTAAGTTATTTCAACAAATTTCTTTCCCCTGTTCTGAAACTGTTTTCATTTGACATCCTTATAAGTGATAATATTTTGTCTTGGGAAGAAAATGAAAACAGCAAAGATGATGTTTACAACTGATTTTGCATTTGTTAAAAACTGAGTGGATTTCCCTTTAGAAAATAAACCCCAAGCATTTCCAGAGAGAGGAAGTCAAAGACTGCTGGCCTGGTGCTGACTGCTGACTTGCCAGCCTGGTGAGGAAGACAGAGTGTGATCTTACCACCCCGAGATGATGATTTCTGCTCCAAAAGAGGCATCTCAGATGCAGTTAGAAACCTGCCAGGCTCCCTTGTCTTCCCATCTTAAGACCAGAATGTTTTCCTTAGCCTGTGCAGCTTATCCAGGTGCATTGGAGATGTTGCACTCAGCTATTGGGACAACTCAGAGTGTGTTTGAGGGAAGCCCCTGACTGAGGATGTGCTTAAATGTAGCAGTTTGCACAGACTGAAGGTTGATGACAATCTTGGAGTGCTTTTAAAATGAGGTGTGGACATGCTGTAGGAGATCTGACAAACTTACACAATGTTTAGGTGTCAGTTCTGTGCTTGGAGCAGTATTGCCAGAGATGCAGTGTTGTCTGGATAACAAAGGGAGGAAAGATGGGAAGAAAGTTCCAGGGGAAGGAGACTGGAGGAAAGGAATCCTAGAATAATGACCTCAAAGCCTGAGCAGTTTTTGAGGCTTAACTAAAAGCAATGAAGGTGATAAAGTCATTTATCACTGCCTGAGTTTTGCCAGGACATCTCTAGAGCAAAAGTGATTAAGATCCTATGGGTTATATCAGAGTGGAGATGCTTGCAGAGTTAGCTGCTGTAGTACATTTACTCCTTTCAACTGAGTTGTTGTATTGTTATCAAATCTGTCCCCAAAAGGCATAAGTTAATTTTATAATCGTGTTCACCAGTCTCCTATAATGAGAAACAGAATTTTTCTAATTTCTGAATTTTAAAAATCTGGTTTATTTCATTTTGAGCTCTGTTTTTTTATTAAGCACAATCCTAACATAATCTTTAGATAGTTTTTTGGTTTTTTTCCAGATAAATTGCATTATTTTCTGATTCTTAACTTTTCCTTGCTTTCTGTGAGCAGTTCTGCATAATGGGGTGAATAAAATTGCTGCTCAGGGTACAAAGTGTTTCATGACAGAAAGCCCTGAAGGCTGTTTTCCTCTTTGGAAAATAATGGGGTGCTCACACACTGTTCAATATCCAAGAGTGGGAGGGAAGCAAACCCTATGCTGCAAGTTGGCTTTCCTTGATAGCTGCTGTATGTGAAGGATGCTGGAACAATGATTGCTCTTTGCAAGGAGCCATCCATAGAATGGGGGTGAAGTGGAAATACACACCTGTCAGCCCAGAACTGGCTGGGGAGCTGAGAATAACTGGATTTCAGTTCTTCATATGGACAAGACTTACTGTTCTGTCTTAGCAGTGGGTGTGAGACAGACCTTTGAGGAGGTAGGAGATAAGTGAGTTTGGACTCTCTCACAGAACTCCAAACTTACGCCCTCTTCTAACTTAGTACCCACTAAACTCACTACTGACAGAGGAATAATTCACTGAAATGCATTTTAAAAATCCCTACTTTGAGTCCTTTAGGCATTGTAATTCTAGATTATACAGCCCAGACTACACTCTGCAGTGATAATTAGGCATTAAATGCTAACAGGATTATTATGGAGATTTCTCCTGACAGCCATTTAGCACCTAATTAGGTGTTAAGGCCATAAATTTGGATTTCTCAGCAGCATTTAGGGCCCTAATAAATTCTTTTAAAGTTAGAGACTGTGGGCTTGTCTTCACAACTGTGCACCACAGTGATGTAGTCAAGCTGCCTTTTAGGAGACAGCAGTGGTATGTCCTTTGCCATGGTGCTCTAAGGAAGAGTGAGCATCCTTTTGAGTGAGCTAAACCTCTCTATTTTTCCAGTTTTATGTTTGTTTAATAAAACATTTAATCTCTTCACCAGTCTATTCCCATTTAAGGGAGACCTGTAAGCATGGCTCTAGGCAAAATCCATTTACTGCCTTATACCAGATATAGACTTGCTACCATTTTTCTTAAAAGGACTCTCTTCTGAAATAAATTGTTTAAAGGGCTAACTGCTGCTGAGTTTGTTGTAATAGCACATTTTTCACTGCTTTTTTTAGAGTTAGTTTCAAGGTTCACCAGTGAGATCAGTTGAAATAGTTGGAAAAAATAAGATTCTGAAAGGCAGAGAGCCTTTTGACAGCTATAGTTGTCTACTTTATGAATATTTAAGGAATTTTTCTTGATGATAGAACCCAAGCAATTATTTATTGTCATGTAGTGCATAAAAAATAATAATCCTTTTCTCATTGAGTTCCATGCACACTTGGAAGACATTAAGGAGCCCCTAGGAAAGCACATACCTCTGGATGAAAACTGCTCTTGGTCACAGCCTGTAGGTCAGCAAAACTACAAGGCATGGCAGAGAACAATAATATAGCACAAGACTCAAATTCAGTTCGGGGTGGTCTTGTCAGGAAAGGTGGTCTCCAGTGTTTAAACAGTAGCTAATTTCTCTGACTGTTTAATTTGCACTACTAATGATAAAGGTAGAGCCAAGACTAAAGTATATTTTTAGCTTGGGAACAGTAATGATGAGTTGCCCGATAGACTTTGGATTCAATAATTCCACATTTCCAACATGTGACAAATGGCCTGCACACTCCATGTGCAGCAATCTCCACCTTTTTAAAAAATAGTTTCAGTAAAAACACTTAAGCCCCCATATATATGATATGAACTAAAACTAATCCAGAGCCATTTTCTTGAGCAGAGAAGTTTGCTGTCTTTTAAAAGGCTCAGACAATAGTACTCACACATTGACTGATCTTACCTTTTTTTCTCTTTAAATTATTGTACCAGAAAAATTCAGCTACATATGGTAACATAGCAAAACTTACTGGAAGGGAAATTGGATATTATCAGTGATGCTTGAACTGCTTTTGACTTCTGTCAAGAGCTAGGGTAAGGAAAAGAAAGTACTCTTGGGAATTTTAAAATGAGCTAGTTTTATTCTGCTGCTAAGGTACAAGGGGAGACTGTTCTTCCTGAGGTTGAAAATCCACTTTGAATTCCAGATAATAATGGCATTTTATTGATTATGAGTGAAAATAAATACTCTATTTAGAAAAATAGAGAAAAAAGCTGAAAGCTTGTCTTGTAGTGGGCAGGGTTGTGGGGAAATTTGTCTTAGCTAATGATGGGACTTTATGTGCTAAATTTTATCTGAATAGGAAAATATAAGTATTCGTAAAAATTTTTTTGTAGACTTTTAAAAATCTTGTTTTTCCTTTAGATAATGATGCATTCATAATTCTTAATTCGGGTAAAATCCTAATGAAGTGAAGGACATTCAGTGAGATGGAAAAGTTAATGGCCTGGGTGAAGACTATGTTTCTTTTTGTAGTGAAGGCACAGGAGAAGTTGTTTGTGAATCATGCAAATAGGGAGCAGAAGCAGAGCTAGCCTGGCTAGTGTAATGAACTGTTACTAGTAAATTAATGAAACAACAGTTAGAGTACTTCAATATGAGGTGAATGGCTTTAAATCTGTTTGCTTGAAGCCATAAGACAATGTGAGTTAACAAAATAATTATTTTGCTACTCAGAACAAGGGCCTGCATTCACTGTATATTTGACAGGGTGTAGAAGGGGATAGTGTTCCTTTTCAACAGGTAACTTGTGATTTCTCTCTCTGCTTTGCTCCCTCTATTCTTTTTTCTTCTCTTCTTCTTTGTGCAAAAAGAAGGAATCAAGGAATGTCAAGTTTAGACCTGAGACTTTACAGTCCTGTTTTCTTTCCTTCAACAGAGAACATACAGAGCTATGTATGACTACAGCGCTCAAGATGAAGATGAAGTTTCCTTCAGGGATGGTGATTATATCATCAATGTGCAACCAATTGATGATGGCTGGATGTATGGTACTGTTCAGAGAACTGGGAAAACAGGAATGCTTCCAGCAAATTATATTGAGTTTGTTAACTAATTTTTGTCTCTAGTCCTTTGAGCTTTATTATGATTTACTTAAAATCTAACCTTTTAGAAAAAAATCAGAAGAATCTTTTAAGAGTTCATGATCATTACTTTATCACTGCTATAACAGTTTGCATTCTCACTCAGAATCCATTTTAGAGTCCTTTAACGAAAAAATAAATAATCCACAAGAAGCTCAGAGATTTGAAAACAGCATTGCTTATAATAGTGCTCTCTCAAAATGAAAAACATATATGGAAGCTTGATGCTGCCAGTCCTATAAAGACTTTGGTCAATTAACTGTAAAGGGGTAATGCCTTTTCCTTACACCTCAAAGATGTTATAACTATAAAATTGATTCACTTTTTATGGCACTCTGAAGTCACAGGAGGTTAACACACTGAGTTTGAACACATCTTCAAATTATTAGGGGAACATTTAATGTATAAGCAGTTAGCTTCCTAATAAAAATTAATATGTTGAGTAGACAATTCAGTCATTTGAAATAAAGACAAGTAACATGCCAGTGAAAAAAAACCAAGACCAATAAAACCCCCTACTGCCCAGCAGCCTTACAGTAAATATGTCTATTTTGACAGCAAAAATTTCCTGACTCTTGCATATCCACATTTATTCTTGGATTATCCATTTTTTCTTATTTCCAAGTGATCTATTAGCTTTGCTTCCATCCTAATCCCTCAATTAGATCCAGGTCTGGATTCATGGTTCTTCAGAATCTTTTCCGCAGAAGATTCTTTGCAAAGACTATCTAAAATATAAAACCTGCCAACTCTTCTGTTTCCTTGTAATAGTACTTAGCATTTAAATAGAAACTTTCATTAGGGCAACGTACAACCAATTCTTCATGTTAGCTCCTTTGCCTTCACCTGTAGAGCTGTAAATAAATGCCCAGGTGCGGCCCCGGTGCTGTGCAGTCACACCCCGTTCTCACACAGGTAACTCGCTTGATGGCTGCTTTGCTGATGAGCTGATGTCCCTCCCCTGCTGCAGAAACTCTTGTGCCTCCATCGAGCAGTGCAGGAGAGCTCTGGTTCTTGTAGTGCATTTCAGATCAGTGGCCTGTTGCTTCAGTTTGCTCCCAAATTCTTGGTGATCCAACAGCGGGTTGTACGCTTGCCAAATGATTAATGATGGAGAAGAATTATGTTTTCATTTAGTGACTTAATCTTTCTCATAACTGACATGGAAGGGAAAGCTAACTAAGCAAAATCCAACATACACTATGCCATTATGTTTCAGTTTAGCCATCTGTTGAAAACAGTAAAAATATTCTGCTGACAAACCTTCACATTGCTACTTGGTGTCTGTTAACTTATGGCCAGAACTGAGAGATCCAGGTTTCAGTCTGAGGCTGGGACAGGATCTAACAGCTGGTGACACACTGGATCTGCAAGAGGGATTTTGTCAGCAGGCTTGGGTCACAGGCAACTTGTATTTGCTTTGACTGGGTGCTGCATTCCCTCACAGGGTTAAGTTGTGGAAGACAAAAGAGTTAAAGATTCATGTGAGAAATTATTCATGTGGATTCAGAGGTGTGTAAGGAAGAAAATGTTTTTCCGATAAAATAATTTGTAGAGTTCAGCCATGTGCTGAGGAAGTTAACTTTGGAGTAGCCCTCAGAATATTGAGTCTGCACTGGCTTGCTTTCATTTATAAAATTTTTATAGTAGAGTTACATATAGAGCTTTTAGACAATTTTGTATTTCTCATCTCACATAGTAGGCAAACCTGCAATAACTATTTAAAAAATAAACAAGAAAGGCAGTATGGATTTGTTATGTCAACTGAAAGTTGTCAGTGCAAATACCTTCAAGTTCTATTTTTGCATACAGTTTTTGCATATAATTTCCAAAGAATTGGAAAGCTTATGCAGTTTTATTTTTGGTCTTGCTAACACAGGGATGATATCAGCTGCCAAACAGAATGGAATGACTCCATAAGAAAAAAAAAAAAGTTCATGACTGTGGAATTACCTGTGCTTTCTTGTCAGCAGCCTAATTTCAAGGCTAAAGCTCTCCAGGAGTCTCTAACTTCAAAAAATATGTTTTAAAAGCAGAGTTCCATGACTGTAAATATGCAATTTGTATAGTTGACTGCTGGGATTTAAAATTCTTGCAAGTTTTGCATAAGGAGCTGCTCTTGCAGCAGACCCTTGTGCATGGTGACACCCCCATGAAATCAGCAAGTCAAATGGCTTTTTTAAAGGCTGATGTGGCATGCTGAGCTAGAAGCTCCGAAATGAGCAGTTTGCTTCTGTGTTGGTTTTCATCACTGGCCATCAACAGCGAGGAGAGGAATCTCATCTTCTGCTGGCTGGCAAATTTTTCAGATGATGCCTGAGGCACAATTGGCTGTCACTTGCTGCTGTGCTGCTCTATTAGCTGTGTAATGCTTGACAACAATAAAAACAAGGTGTCAGTTTGCTAACCAAATATGAATAAAATAGAAATATAGAGAATATCTGTATGGCATCAAGCTGCAATTTTTAGTGATTTATCAAATGGAGAGGCTCCACCTATAAATACGTAATCATTCTTCCTAAATGAGGAGACAGCTTACAGTGCTGAATACTTTATGTATAAAAGTAAATCAGAAAATGAGCATTTGGTAACATTAGAGAATGATGTTATGCTGAACAATAGAAATAAAATTTCCTTTATGAATTTTGAATATTTATTAGCCTGGCATAGCAGCTAGAGCAATTTGGGAAAAATAAAAGGTCAAGAAAACAAAACAGCATGTGAACTGTATTCCTCTTGAGAATGGTATGTCAGCAGAATTACTAAGATCTGGTTTAAGTTACTTATTCTTGTAGCCAAATTTTTTGTCAGATATGCTTAGAAATTCATATTTATATGGAATGGTTCCTGCTTTTTGATATAAAACAAACTTTAGTGTAATTTTGCAGCTTTGTTCTAAGCAATGCAATCAAAGGCCCAAAATTATCAAAATGCAATTATAATTTTTTTTTAATAAGAACTAAAATTTGTAAGGCAAGGAGAGTAAGTCATGAACTAAATTGTGCCAGCACACATTTCTCAAAGCATATGTTGGAGACTGTTAAATGCAGTGTAATATAGGGGTGAAAAGATGCTACATGCTGTCTTGTTACCTTTCAAGTTTATATTAATTTTTAGCACAGCATATTCCCCTCAATGTTCTTTCTTCCTATAGTCAACATTTTTCTGGGGAAAGGAAAGGGCTTTTAAGGACTTGAATTTCTCAAGCTGTTCCAAAGTTCAGGTTGGAAGTCCACATTGTCCCATTGTAGAAATATATAATTCTGTCAGGAATGCTGTAATTCTTGCTAACATGAGTATAAATGTAGAAAACAACATAGAGCATATTCATGCATACATACAGGAACAAATGGGTGCCTTGCTTTTCATTACTCTTTCTTGCCTGGCTAATCTTCATTTTTTAAACAAAGCTACATCCAGGTACTGCAGTTGTAATTTTTCATTATGGAACATTAGCATTTAGTCTTGATGAAACAGGGTTTTCTTGATTACATTTGACATACAATAAACTACTTCAGCAGATTGGGATTTGGCGGAGAATCACCTCCCATGGATTATGTTTTTGACAAATGTGTCCCTGCCGAGTGTTTCTTGGGGATGTGGAAGGTCTCCAGTACTTGGGAAAGGTAATAATTCCAGTTTTATTGTACAGTGACTTTATGTCATCTTGTACGATGAAAAAGAAATGACAAATACAGAGGTCTTTGGCAGAAGGTGGTACAGGGTATAAAATCATGGATTTTTATTAAGTTGATTAATACTCCATTTAAAATATAGAATATGCTTTAGTTAGTAAATGTTTAAATAATATACCGAAACAGACAGAAGATGCTGTTGAAAGAAGTCCTCCAAACTGGTGTGCTGGCAAAGGCAAAATACTAGTGAGCTGTAGAAGATTAAACCATCTTGCAATGCTTTAGTGATTTTCTCCAGCTTTATGCCATAGGAACCCCATCTCTCCTTTGGAAAGAAAACCTGAAAGCTCTATTTCCTAAACTGCCTGCACTACAACAGTATATTCAAAGGAATTTCATATGCTTCTTGTGTCTGATAAATAGAATTTGCATATTGTACTTAAGTTGTAATCCAGTTGTTGTTGACATTTGTTTAATTATTATTATTTTAGGGGGGAAAATAAGCTATACTGTAGCATTTCAATTGTGTATTTAATATTACTATTAGAAATTGCTAGACCATTGGAAGACAGCAATGACTGTATTGACATTGATTAGCATGATGTGGAAAATCTCTCAGCTGTTGGTTTTTGCAGTGTGATATAAAAAGCAAAAATGAACCGCTGTGCAGTTTGGCTTATGTTTGCTTTAAAGTGTGTAAAGTTTTAGTTATTTTGCAAAACTGTACTGTATTTGGGGGTATACAGTTATGAAGGTATTTGTTTTTCAAAAGACAGATGAACTTACTCTTGGATCATATGATGTATCATCTTAATTTGGCTTTTGTTATGCAGAAAGTTAACACCAGCTATTAAAATATATTTTAGTAGAAATGCTTTAATTCCTGTTTCTTCCTCTACACTGTGAATATTTAAGCTTTGGTGGACTAGAGCAACATCATGCTGCCCAAAGTACTAACCTATGCAACCTAGTTCACATTTTAGTTGATGTCACAGTGGATGTAACATAACAATTTATTTTGCATAGCATTAAACTTCATTCAAATAAAATATTAAACCCAGCACTATGTATGTATTATATTCATAAACAACGCTCTGTGAAGCACATACCCATTAGTATTAGCTCTCAAAGATGGATATTGCTTTAACTAAGGAAGCTTTGAGTTTTCAAACTTAAGTAGAATATTTAGCACTATTCGTCAAGCTTGATCTCAGAAAATAGTTCCCTAAAACACTGTTTTATTTTAGACATGCCCTCTCCTTAAAAGGTTAATTTGCCTTTTTTAGTCTGCATTTATAACCCTTCACAACAGAACATCAAGTTACATTCCATGACCCTTGGCTTGTTTAAATAAGCAAATGTAGTAAGTGAAGGATTCCACTGTTTTAATTGATACTGGTTTGCTTCTCTTTGAATGGGAATTTGGTTAGGTGTGCTCTCAGTGCGGCACTAATAAAAAAGATTGCATTGCTGGCTTCTTTAAGGCAATTTTATATACAAATGTCATCTTTATTCATTTACACAAGTCAATTATTTTTAAAACATTGTAAGAAAGTTTAAGTTAAAATAAAATCCAGAAGTATTTTGGAACTGCTCTGCCTGTAGTTGAAGAAGATTATTATGCTTAAGGACATGTTTTATTTATTTGAGTTCTAAGTGTATAGTACAGTGGACTGCAGTAGAATTTTTATATTCTTGACAAGTGTTGGTTTGAAGAAGGCTCTTAACAATGTACGAGGACAAATGCCAGCCACAAATGGAGCTGATTAGTTCCTCCTAGGTAAGTGACATGCAATTGCTACCACACTAATTTCTGTTAAGAAATGTGTTAGCATTTAGTATGAAGTTTAATTGGTTACAGAGTTGTGATTCCATATTCTGTAGTGCTTTTATATATTGAAATGCTGCCAGTAAAGAAATATCCAGTCTTTATATATACTATAACAAACAGCAGTTTTCAATAAGATAAAGATTTAAGAGCTGCCAAATGGACCTTAAGCACTCGGAATGTGTTTTATTTGAAAATCCCTCCATAATTTGCTAGAGGTACTGAAGTACTTTCCTGTCTTAGTGGCCCCGTAGAATATAATTATCAAAAGTATCTATGTACTGGAACTTGAAATTCTTATGGAACCCCTCCATGCTGTGCATTGGACAGCTTGGGAGTTTCTAGCTACACTTTTAGGATGCCCTGATTTCTGCTCTGTCTCAGAGCTGGGCTCTTGGTTTTCTCTGGAGTGTTAATTAGCAAGAATAAGCTAATGTACCACAGAGTTCTCTGTGCTGGGGGAATATCTGCCCAGTTCATGAGCACTGCCTTCTCTCCCTTCTCCCACCCACACCACCAAGCCCAACCATATTTCCAATACTGCTTTGCTGTGACTATCTCTCTCACCTTTCCATGAAGCTACCTGTGGGACACATTAAAGTGGTATCACCAAAAGAGACAGATAATTTTTCCTTCCAAATGATTTCTTTTATCATCATTCTTTCAACGATTCTGTTCATTGCACAACCTTGAAAACACCAATATCGGCATAAGGAAAGAAGTAGCATGAAATGGATGGAAAGCTGGCTGATTTCCTACTCAGATTTTGCTGCAGAGGTTAGTACAAGTCAACCATGTGACTGAAGGCACCATCTGAACACCTAACCTGCAAGCTGAGCAGTGTCATGTGGGTGTGCTTGGCCTGTGTGTGTGTGTGCCTGTGCTGTAGTGTCAGAAGTACTTCGGGGTAGTGTGCAGATACCTCCTCCAGTGTTTGAGCAATTAGTTGGAATCCCGAGAGCAGGCCACCCACTGGCATATGGCATTCATAAGGACATTTATCCTCTGAGAAAATGAGACCTCAGTACAGAGGGAAAAGAATGTTGGTAGATTTAAACTGCATATTTTTGTGCCCAGCAGTACGGAAATCCTTTGTGTGCAGTCAGAACACTACGCCCCATAACACTGCAACAAGCTCCTAACTCTGAGCTGTGTTTAGCACCAGAATGAGATGATGTGCCACAGAGCTCACTTGCTCCACAAATTTGATACTGCATGATGTGCTACTTGATGGTCATTGTGCTTAACAGTGACAGCAGAAACTGGAGATTTGTATTTATGCACTACATCCTAAAAAGATCCTAAGAATTCCTGAATTTTATATTTTAGCTTTGGTTTCTTTCTCACTTGCCTGCCGTTTGTTGATAAAATATATATATAGAGAGACCTGTTCCCATGCAGAAGACTACTGGCTTGTGGCTTTGACCACTTGTACCTACAAACAGAGATCTGCAGGTATTAGCATTTTTATCTTAAAATATTGCTTGACACATAAATATCCATTTTCAATGTTTTCACAAACAACTGTCAGCTTTTGTGGTTGTTCTTTGATTCAAGCTATAATTGATAATTTTTCTTTGTTTTTCTTCCTTTTTCATCTTTCTTCTCTTGACATGCTTGTGGCCTGTGTTGCTTATACAGCAGCTTTTCCATGACCCAAAGGACATATTTTTAAGAGGTTTCTCAAAGCACTGAGAAGACTTTAAATTGTTTGAAAAATGCTACTGTTATCTCCCCATTAAATTCTCCCTCCCCCAGTTGGCTTCACTGTCCTTTGCCTTTTGCCTCCTCTTCCTTCAGTCAAGCTCTGACATCTCTGTCATTGAATCTGAATGGCTTGGGGTCTCTCCAGGCAGGCCTTCAGACCACTCTCTGGGCTCCACAGTTTCTGCATTCAGATTTGGAACTTTAGTGTGACTTACCTGTTCTGTCAAGGTCTTTGAGCAGAACTCACAGAATATTAGCCCGTGCCCATTTGCCCTAAGCAATGTTACATTTCTGCTGGCTCAGCAATGAGCAGTTCCCTCTGAAGAGTCCTCTTGGCTGTGTTTTCCCGGGCTTTCCTTGCCTGTGGGTACCTGTGGCTGCTTCAGAAATAAGCTGCTGATTTCAGAAAAGAGGGAGATTGCATTTTTTGCTGTCTCATCAGTACCTAAATCAGTTGTTCTTCATTCTCCAGAGGATTAGCATCCTTATTATGTTATCCCTGGTTTTGGGTTGAACTCCTGATTCAGAAGTCATTTTTTGTCCATCAGTGTTAGAGTGAAGGGCTCATACCATATCAATGCAGTCTGTTGTGGAAGCTGTGTTGGATAGGCACTATCCTGCTCACCAGAACCTTTCAGTTCCTAGCACTGCTTGTTCTGTATTCATCAGATGGGATCTCTGTGAGATGTGACTATCTGTACCAAATCCCAGTCTTTCTATAAATAAATACGTCATTATAAAATAAACACTTCTCCTGACTTACAGCTCCTCTGACTCAAGATGACATTGACATCCTCCAATTTTGTAGCTTGTACTGACATCAGGAAGCATGCATCTGAAATGTGTTAGGTGAATTATGCTCTAAGGGACTGTTTGGGCAGCCCTTGATGACTGCAGCTATTATACAGTGTGGATATCTCAAGTTAAATGGGATAAGTGGCAGATCAGGTCTTGCTGGTGAGTGGTTCAACTGAGAAATGAGTTTATGTGTTTATTTGAGTGACCCAGCTATTCAAGAGACTGTCATTTTCATTTCTACTCCAGCAGTTCAAAACAAATAAAAGAATTAGATGGCAGTTATTCATAGTTAACCAGTTTGTGCAGCTTAAACAATTCCTTGATCAGTATGGAAATAAAGAAAGTTAATCAGAAAGTTTTGACAAACCACATGCAAGGTGGAGCTAGGCATTTGAACTGACATTCAGCATGCTTGCATTTCTAACCACTGTTTTCCCTTTTTCTAAATTTATTAAAAATAGTGGGAAAGCTCTGCCCCTCACGGCATGACTAGCATGCTGTTAGAGAAATTAATCTTCAATGGAAGAATAGATTCCAGGGTGTTGTAAGGCCTTGGAAGATAACTTTTAGTCATGCTTTCAAATCTTAAAGTTACCAAAATACTAACTTTGCTCCCTTGCATTTTCTTTCAGCCTCTAAATCCCACTAAAATGGTTTTGCTCTGCTCTATGTTCAGCGTTCATTCCCTATAGCAGTTACCTTTGTGAGATGGGGAAAAGACCACAAACATTGGAGTACTTCAAGTAACTTTCTCTTCCTACTATTTTTTCATTGCTATCCTAGGTAACATCTGTGAAATATCCTTCAGGCTCTTTATTCCACCTTCAAGAAACATATTGCACAAATAACAAACTCCCTGTGCAAATGCCACTGGCCATGATGCTCTGCTGCACAGCTGTGGTTAGTATGAGAGGGAGGACACATGCTACAATGGCAACAGCGAAAATCTTGATTTTAGAGCAAGCACGTAGCAAAGACTCCAGTGAGATCTTTCTCAACTTGTCACTCCTTTGAAAATAGTAGCCATCACTGCAGTACCAGTGCTCTGTGAAATTAGTAAAATTATAACTTTGCAACTTGTTTTATTTTCCAGATGCTATAAAGTCAGCACAGCTGCTGCTGCTTTTGGACAGGTTGATTTTAAATGCTGATTTGACTTGTTTGCTGCTGCTTATGTTTTTGTTGGTATTCTTTTTATTTCAACTTATGGTATAATGGCTAAGCCAGAAGGACACATCAGGTCCTCTAATTTGAGGGCTTTCTGCCATTCTGCAGATGTATATTTTCTTATTTTAAGCCTTCTTTTTACCAGCACTTTCTCAGAGATCAAGAATGTGAGCAGGACTTACTCAGCCTCTACAAGAAGGCCAGAACTGTAGTCTGAACTAGTACGAAATTATTCACAACAAGGGCACGGGCACTGGGCACAATCAAATTAGTTTCTCTTACAAGTTGATCCATGAAGCACACACACTCTTGTGGCCCCCTCTGCCCCCAGTTTCTCCTTCTCTAAATACTGCTGGTCTAGTGATCATATAT